GAGACACTGACAGTGGAACAGAGGTACTGTATAGAGACTTTTAATACCTGGAGGCAAGGAACAAAGAAACCAGCCTGGCGAGTTGATATGAACTGAGGGAAATGTAGTACAGCCCATAAGAGGATTTCTGATATAACACAAACAGACATTGGAAATTGGATTGGGTGGTATCTTTCTTGTCCAAGTGTGTATTCTTCTCCATACCATCAAAGATCTTTACAGACACTAAGATGAGACTTTTTTAGTAGTCTCTCTTCAGTGTACCTTAAAGAAAATACTTACTGATCCTCTGGAATTCATTACGTCCCTTGGAGCTAACTTTTGGTTGCTGTGGATGTTGTTTTTTATTTTTATTTCTTAGATTAATAGTAAATGTTGATGTATGTAGAAAATAAAAAGGGCCCTTAATCGATACTAATGTCTGTCACTGGAACCGGTGGCAAAGAAGGGGGTCTAGCACTCTTTCCGATTTGCTAGGTGGCATAGTCGTACATGAGGCAGGAATATTTCTTGTCCAAGGGATCACCTTACTGTGACATTATGTATAAACATGTCATTAACTGGGCCTCTGATACATTGTTTCCCATTCGATTGTCTTTTTGACTCTACTCTCTTTGTATCCTCCTTGCTTGATTTTGGATGCTTTCCCTTCTGTCATTAACTGCAAAATACTAACCTCCATACCAGCAACCTAATGCTAATGCCTAATGCTTGTAAGAGGAAATACTTCCCAATGTCACAATGATTTTAACAGCACAGCAGCTTCAAGAAAACTGCTGATAGCAACATTATTGTGTTTACTGATTTGACTAAAGCTTTTGACTCAGTGAAATGTCTTGCCCCCTGGCAAGTACTGTTAAAAATGATAACATGATGACATGTCAGTAGCTGTAGTTAGCAGCAAGGCTAAGACCATCCCTTTCAAAATAGAAATAGGGGTTAAACAGGGATGTATTGTGGCTCCAACCCTATTTGTTATTTTCATTGCAGCTATCCTCCACCTCACAGGCCCAAATCTACCACAAGGAGTATAAATCCTTTATAGGACTGATGGTGTGACTAAAAGTTTCCACAAACTCCGTCATGAAGCTGCAATTTATACACAGAGGCAGACCTACAATGCATCTTGGATGCCTTTACAAAGGTATAGAAGCTCCTTAGTCCTGAGGAGAAAGGAGGAGAAAGACCTACATCCTTTATCAACCTACACCTTGCAACACTCCACAGATACCCAGCATTCACATGGACAAGAGCACTCTTGGAAATGTGGATCACTCCTGCTACCTTGGCTGTATGCTCTCATCTAAAGCTGACATTGACATGGAGTTACACTGCAGGTTAAGCAGTGTGTTAAGGCTAGCCAAACGGCTGGTTAGCCATTGGTAGTTAACTGACCCTATGCAGTAGCTAGTGGTCTATTAGACTGGAAAAAGAATTAGCTAGGCAAACAATCCGAATCGATATTCAAGTAATTTAAATCAGAAAACAAACCGGGGACATCAGAAGCTGATGGACCAAATGAGACGAAGAGAGATAACGAAAAAAGGAGAGAAGTGGTTATGCAGTAGTGCATGGATGGTGTGGTGAGGTGCGGAATGGGGCATGTGGTAGGATAATAAAGCTCTGCGTGGATGCTTGCGGGAATCCATGCCTGTGGGAATATGTTGGCATTTGCACGTAGTCGTGACACAGTGTCTGTGTGGATTTTGCTAAGCTTAGGATAAGAGATCTTGAGGAAGGAGATATCAAATAAGAACAAAGCTCTTTGTCTAGCAAGCTGTGTTTCTTCCTACCTTTCTGCATGAGACAGAGACCTGGAAAATAGACAGTAGGCATGTGAAAGCACTAGAAGTGTACCATTAGAGATGCCTTTGGATGATTATAAGGATCAGTTGAGAAGGCAAGGACTCTAACACCAGCAACCTGGAGTAAGCAAACTTGTACAGCGTCACCACAATTATCATGAAAGCTCAACTGAACTGGATAGGCCCTATTATCCGTCTTCCAAAACAGATCATGTATTGCCAATGAAAGGAGTGTGCTCCTAGAGGACAAAAACATGTGTTTGAAGATCACATCAAAAATATATAATATTTTGGAATTAACATGTTCATGTTGTTTTGCATGGTGCATCCTAGAAAGAACAATGGATTTGTTCCTGCCTATTCAGTTTGTTTAAGGTATATACATTTGTTTTAGAAAGTGTGCTATCTATGCTAATGTCATCTGTCCCCACACAGAAAACAAAAGAAGCCTTTGTTAGAGGCTGTCCATGCCAGCCAAATCAACTCAAGAAAGATAATATACTGTATGTAAGCTCATATTATATACAATTGAACTAATAATATCTATCGCTCTTAGTCAGAAAATAACCTTCAGAAAGTCTCTGATGGATCTAAAAATATTTTAAACTTTTATTCCTGAGAAACAACTTTTTCCATTAGAAAGAAACAAAATACTGTGAATTCCTGGAAGAATACTTGGCGAGGCCTTTCGTAAACTTGAACAGGATTTGTTTAATCACTGTTACTTCCTGTTTCGCTGAGGTAGACAAAGTCACAGGGTCAAAAATAAGCTCTGTTTTTTTTTGCCTTGTTTTCACAATGGTTGACTTCCGTTTGTCAATTCAAGAATACGTCAGATGTAACATATGCAATTGAGATGAGAACACCTTTTACTGTTAAAAACTAACTATTAGTAATAACTTATAAGTTAATTACTAATGTTAAATTACACCACAGGTATTGTACGCTATAGTAAGTGTCTTTGGAGCCCTCATGCTGTATTATTTAGAAAAAAACGTTTATCATGGTTTACTGGTTTACTGTAAAGCTCAGCAAACACATACAGATGCAGCCATTCAAAGTGTGCGGTACAGACACGTAATTGGCTACGGCGTCGCGCATTGTGACGCACGATGACGCGTGGTACCGCGGTACGTGATTGGTTGACCGAAAGGGGCACTCGTGGTCCGTTGGTCTGTCGTAGAAAAAAGATTTACAGTAAACATCTTTACTGTGCCCGTTTTAGTATTTAATATTCATATGGAGTTTTACCAATGAAGAGAAATCTTAGTTGCTGAGCAT